GGCATAAACGTGCTGAAATGTGCTTTGAGAACAGACCAGTGGTGGAAGAACGGTTGGGAGGCAGTTGGTGGCACAGCGGGTCTACAGGATATCTTTGAGAAGATAAGCATCCAGGAGGCTAGGAGCCTGGCAAGAGCCATCGGGTCGTGCTCGAACACCACTGATCCTCTCCTGCGGCAGGCAATCGATGAGCTGCTTCATCGTTTGCTGCCCAATTTCTTCAAGTCTTCGTCGACGCAATCTTCCGGCGACTTTCAACAGCTACTCAAGTTGGAGGACGTAATCTCGTTATGTAACCTGTCCAGCGACGCCACTCTAATGAAAGTCTTCTCAACGCCTTTGCCCGACGATGTCACGGGCTCCTTGATGCGACAACTGCTTAACTCTCATATGTCGCTGCTAAGGGATATTGCTGTCGGGGCATTTCCGGTCCATCCTCCGCTCCGCAAGCGCTTACTGGACCAGCATCTCGCTGCGTTGCTTACATCGGTTAAACCCTACGAGTCACGGTTTGGTCAAGAAAGGCAAACCGGCTTCCCGGCGATCGATCTCTCCTTGGACCTTTTAGCTGGGGAGTTTGGTGTTTCGGAAAAGTCGCGAGTGGTCAGTTGGCATACGCGCATTCGGTGCATCAATATCACTCTCACAACCTCCCGCCGCCGAAGAGTGCCTTTCGACGCTATTTTTGCCTTGCTTCAGCATGTAATCCCGGACTTGGGGCATTCGGATCGGACCCTCATCCATTGGGTGCCGCTCATACATTCATTAATAGAATTGTGGGTCATCGCTGCCTTTCCAGACGCACATCTACAGTCAATATCTGATGCGCCTGTTGCTCGTTATCGGGCGCGACTGCATCCATCTCGGCCACAAACGAGCCACAGAGATTCTTTGGAGGCAATGCTTCGAACAGCCTTTTGCACCTTATCATCCGATCAGTTTCAACATTGCCTCCGAACCCTTCTACCCAAAACCGTTCCGGAAGCCAGGCTTCCCTTACTCAAGATTCTATGCAAGAACCTGCAACACCTGAAAATTGATCTGGAGGAGCCTATGCCGTCAGTGAAGGAGCACAAACTTGTGCCATGGAGTTGGTCGTTCCTCATGTCTCTCCCCGGTCGCGATGCAAGATGGTTACTTGAGCGCACCAAACTGTTATCGCCGGATCATAGTTTGGTCAATCCCTTCGTCTTCGAGTGGCCAGCGAGTGCAGGGGATTCGTCATATTTCCGGGACGCCTTGATCCGAGTCCACTTCGACGCCATGGACAGGGAAGCAGCCGATCCTGTTAACTCAGCAGCCCGTGAATGTGAGCCATCCTTTCCCGCTAGACAAAGAATAATGCTGATGCTTGTGCCCTTTCCAGTGATTGAAGACGTGAAGCTTAGGGCTGTAAAAGCCCGTGATCCTGAAGATCGGCTTCAGTGGGCAAAACTGACGATCACTATCGCGAAAAGGAGCCGAGATATTCGCCTTGTGCAGGATGTCATCTATTGGACATCGCGCTTCGTGCGGGATCCGGTATGTTCTTTCTTTACCCCATTATGTATGTGCAGATTGCTAACAAGACATATTTCCCCAGTTTGTGAGACCAGAGCTCGCCAGAAGGATTTATCGGGAGGATGTTGCATCGATTCTATCGTGTGTGATATCGCCAACCGTAGAGGACCTCGCGGCTAAAGTCTCCATTGCTGACGAGGTGGTCTCTCATCTCCTGGAACAGGCGCTTCTAACTGCGCAAGAACCGTGGTATCGAATCAACCAGGATCGCGGATTTGGCCAGCTACTTAAGCTCGTCGTTTCTAGCCGGATACATGCGGTTAAGCGCTTCTATTTCCGTGGTCTAGGCAGTGAACAGAATGTGGTGGACACGCTATTCGAGGGGATAGTGCCAATACTGCTCCGATATGAAACAGTGGGTAGCACGGAAGGATACGAATCCCTTGGCTGGGGACAATTGTCTGGCCCGCTTTCAGAACTCCATTGCCCGCCTAACCCACCAGTCTCGATCCTAAAGCTCTTGGATTCACTTGCACAGCACCGAGACCATCTTTGGGTCAAACAGCGTAGCCTCCGGATCCCACAAGCGGAGACTTTGCCCGAGGGCCTACCACGAGGTCTACCGCTTCAATATCTCCTTCCTTCACAGGAATGGACGATAGCGGTGATGAAATCGGAAGGGCCTAGCGCCTTTGTCACGCAAAGAGTGACGGAGGTTGTCCTCTCCAATCCCGGTCTACTCCTTCAAAAAGTTAAGGAGGACGGCCGCAAGCAGTACTTGGTGGATAGTTTGAGGTTTGCAATCGAGGCTTACCTCGGTCATCTACCGGTCGCTGACCGGGGAAAAAAGTTACTGGAGATCTGGAATCATTACTCGGAAAAAATTCCGTCTTCTGCAGGCCACCTGGGGGACTTTAAGAAATACATGTGCTCTTTGCTGGAATCCAGAAGCTTACGGAGATTAGAGAGGATCATCGACCCTCCCCAGTCGCCTTCTCTTGATATATTCGAGAATATGTCACGTGACTCACCCAGCATTGAATGGGAGCCCCGATCAACCAACGTGCAACAAAATGCACAAAACTGTTGGGAGGGGTCGCTATTACAAATTCGATTTTTGGCCGCAAAGGAGAACTGGTCTCTGGAGAGAATGTTGACAACTCCCAATCTCGGCACCTGGTCGCCAGTGCCTGAGAAGCCCAAGACCTTGAAGATATGGTGGCCCAAATATAGTCCTCGGACTCTTCCGTGCCAGTACCGAGAATCTCTCATTGCGTCCGCCCTTTTGTTTCTCAATAGTCTAGCCCACAATACGGACCGCATATTGTCCAAGCCATTCCCTGAGAATACAGATATTCTTCGGTATCCACCAGTGCACCTGGATTACGACTTTTTGTCCAGCATCGACGACCAGAAAAAAGCAGCAACTGCAGCGATTGACCTCCTTAATCGCTTGGTCAAAATAGTACCATCCACCCTGCTGTACCACCTTTCGCTGTCCTTCTTAGAAGCTCTCCATGTGCTTGAAAGCGTATCGCCAAATTATGCGCTAGTGCAGCGACTCGCTTTCAAATCAATGGCGCTGGTGCGGCGCTCAGACAGGCCTGATCTGGCTGCGAAACTAGGTTTGAAAGCGCTTCAGCTATTTCCGGAAGCATCGTCGTGGCACCGTATGGCATTGCCTTCCTCGTTGACTGAGGTCCTTAGTCGCTCCAATGCGGACCGGGTAATACAAGATTTTACTGCGTATGTCTTCAAGGCACTAGAAGAGCAGAAGCAGCGAACAAGCCACATAGCCGGTACTGCACAATCAGAAAAACCCATAATAAAAATCACGACGGTGAAAATGCTGGCAACTATGCTGGCTGAAAGCAGATCTGGCGCGTCACCCCTCTCCACCATTGAAGCCTTGAAGAACCTCTTTCATGCCAGCAACCACATCGATGTCCGGGTAGCAGTGTGCACGGCTATACTAGAAGTCGTTGGAGAGTACGATGATTGTGAACAAGCTTACGAAACATTTACATCGCTCGCACCCTATGCCGCAGTGCCCAGCGAAACCAGCGCCTGTGAATCTTGGTTGCAGTCAGAGAACGCGGAGCTTCCAAGGGTGGATTGGCAACGGCCCCTTCTCGATCTTTTTACCAATGAAGCCTACGGGATGCTGCCTCCAAGGTACCATGAACACTATACATACAAGGCGCTTCTACCCCTCCTTGATGAATTGACAAGGCAACATAATCGATGGATGCGCCAATTGCTTGCTCCACTTGATCTTAGTCCCGAGGAGCGGTCTGTGACGGACTTTGGCCCTTTTGAGCCAGATATGATACAAAGAATATTTGAACGCTGGTATGAGTACCTGCCTCGGGAATTCCTTGTCAGATACCGCGCTTGGATCATAGGCTATCTTGATTGCATGCGGCTCCGGCACGTCGACGATAAGATGACCGGGAAATATGCATCATGGAAGACATCTGACTCATATTCTCACTGGACTAGGTGGTTCGGCGTTCATGCTGGAATAAAATCTTTCCATACGTTACTGGGAAAGATTGATGCCAAGAAAATCACCAAGGTTCGAAATGGAATAACCCGCGAAGATCTCGCGGATGTGATTATGGCGTGTGCGGAAACTTTTCTTCGAAACCCCTTCAAACTGGTGTCCTATCAGGTCGACGTGTCCTTGGACCGGATTATGAATCTACTTTCGTCGCTGGGGATTACCGACACCAAACGTCGAACTCACGTTTTGCCAATTGCAGAACGAATAGTAGCATTCGCGCAGGGGTTGCGAACCGTGGAGTGGAGCTACGACCCACATCGTAGCCCACCCGTCCTCCCCTCGAGCTTCCAACTCCATACCATGCTTCTTCCGTTTCCTCAGTTCTACAAAAGCGATCCTTTCCGTTACACCAGGTTTGTGTCCAGCACGCTGGACTTGGTCCAGGAATGTGTCTGCTTTGACACATACAAGGCCGATAGCGCTGCTCTCCACGAGGCGATGAATCACGTCACAAAAGAGGATGCGCGCCAATGTGCACTGGAATTTGGCCAGCGGTATGAGTCCAGCGCAACTACGCTTGTACAGTACGTGAGGGTGGAGTTAGCCCACCTTCTGGCACTAAAATGCAGCATGCACAGGGACGAAAAGGATTTTAGGGGACAAGCAATGATGTTGCAGTGGAGGAACAGCCCAAACGAGTCCATCCGGTCTATCGGGTGGTCTATATACCCCAAAGCCATGTAACCTGACATTGCGATAGGCCTTTTCCCGTATGTACTCTTAGTTTCACAATATGATAAGTGATTTCGGCAATGGTTTTCGATGTTAGTAAATCAATAGGGTATACATAGACGCAGCTAGCCAAAAGCACCCGTGCAAATGGCACGCGTACTGCCGGGATATCAATCCAAGCAGGCAAGCAGTGGAAATAGATGCGGCTTAATAAGAAACTGGCCTCCAAAAGGACGTAGAGGTGGCTGGTGTAGCAAAAAAAACCCAGGCACAAGACTCGAACTTGTGACCTCACGAGAAATTAGTTTAATTTAGACGTGCGCTCTGCCAATTGAGCTAGCCCGGGGGGGTTGTTGTTTGAGAATGCGGGAACTGGCTCATGTAGCGGGCCACGATTTGCAAGGCCTCAGACTGTGGCATGAATACACATCGTTCCAAGTAAGATACAGCCCAAGAATAAGTAGCTATTATAGTTTCGATAATTCATTTTTTGTTGCAATACCTCTCAAAAAAGAAATAATTGTGCCAGTCCATATGCATGACAGTCGTGGACCCCTCAACATGGTGGGCGTTGCGTTGCAACCAACGAGTCGAGTTTTATGCGGTGTGTCAGGCTGTAAGACTCAAAGAAACCTGTCATCAGGATTAAACAAGGGTGTGACTCTGCTGATTATAGTTCGTTCATTGCTATCGATCCAGTTTATGCGTCACACATTGACATTCATCTTTGCTGCCTAGACATTATTTGGCCCCAACGCACCGGCGCAGTATGAATCAAGGAACGGTCTCTGTCCATTCACGAGCACAGGTTCATTATTAGTTCATCCTTAGGGGTTTTTGGGTTGATGGAGCAAACTTGAATCCAGAACGCGAGTCAGCCCTTCTGGGGGACGCAAGAAAGGAGGGAGCTGGTAGACTGATAAGTACATCCGGCGTCGGACAGTCAGCGGGATACACATGCGTATACCAATGGACCAAGACGACGTCGTCTACTTCGAACCCCTACAGCGGCTCAGGGTGAGCCCAATTATGCGGTCGTATTTTGGGGTGGTGCATGCGCATGGCGAAGATGGAATCCGACGGAGAAGATTTAAGCAGTCGAGTCGGTGGTTTATTATTTCGATGTCGCCACTGAGTGCGACATAGAACGAATCCCGGCTGATGAGCTTCCAAGCCTTCTTCAGATCTCCAAACAAGACTTCTGCCCATTTGTATCAGCGATACAGCAATGCGGGGACCGTTTGTATATTGCTGGGGTCTATTACATAGTGAAGTGTACGACCATGAGATCTGAGTGATGAAAGGATGCGACATTGCTCCTATGGTCCCTTCTTGGCGTAGCCGCCACCTTGTGTTTGAAGTATTCGCAGTGGGCTATTACTTTGAATAAGCACTACGAATATGTAGCAGTGCCATATACATTCTTCAAGTAGCGCAGGCAGGCATCAACTCACGGTCTTCCGTGGATTCAGTGGTCCCCTAGACATTCATACCCGATAGCCTATTCATAGGCTATACAGGCACGTGATGCAACCATTATCCCGAGGGATACTTCAAGTTGACCCCGGATGCGGGCGATCATGGGAAAGCTTCCATCCCATCTTCTTCTTCATTTCCAGCCTGCATCATGGAAGCTATCCGTCTTCATCCTGCTTCGCCAAATTCCACACCCTATTCACCGGCTAACCCGGCTGCTTCCGCCGCCCTTCGGCTGGACTGTGATGTCCCCATTCCAGAACCCTCTGCGCCCGGAGAGCTTCTCGTCCGCGTCAGAGCAACAACCGTCATTCGGGACATGCTCACTTGGCCGGAAGCCTACTCACATGAGTATGCCATCTTGGGCAACGATGTGGCCGGCATTGTGGTGAAGGTGTTCTCGTCCGCAAGCCAGTTCAAGCCCGGCGACGAAGTTTTTGGCATGACCAATGCCACCCGGGCAGCTACCTGGGCCGAATACACCATCGTCAAGGAGGATGAGGTAGCCCGGAAGCCCTCTACGCTGACATTCGCCCAGGCAGCGGCAATCCCCCTCAGCGCACAAACTGCCTACGAGGCCCTCTTTGAGCACGCGCAGATTCCCCGACCGACAATGGAAGATTTACTGTCCCAAACTGCTACGAAAGAAGGGTACTCTGTGCTGATTACTGGTGCCGCCGGTGCAGTGGGCGTGTATCTTGTGCAGTTAGCCGCAGCCGCAGGGGTAAAAGTTGTCGCCGCTAGCAGCTCCAATGCTCGCAACCGCGAGTTTCTCCAAGCCCTCGGGGCCGACGAAGTCGTGGAGTATAGCATGCTGGACGATTGTCGCGGAAAGTTCGACGTCATCATCGATACCGTGGGCGGGGAAGTCTTGGAAAAATGCTGGGAGTACGTCGCCGGTACAGGAGTGCTGATCTCAGTGGATTCGGCGAGCTTCAACTTCGTAGAGGAGCATGAGAAGCGTGGACTTCGGAAGGACAGTGTACACGCGCTATTCTTCATTGTCCGGGGCAGTCCGGATGCGTTGCATTTTCTTGCAGAGGTGGCAAGTCATGGAGTCGTCCGGCCTCTCGTGGCAGACATCTATCCACTTGTCCAAGCACCGGAAGCGTATGATGTAGCGAATGGGAGGGCATACGGGCGTGGGAAGATAGTCCTTGCCGTTTAAGATAATCCTGCCGGTTCTTCAATCTTGAGTGTATCCCTTTCTTAGCTCGGTTAATCTTGACTCTCTACTTCACGACCAGTTAGTCGATCATAATCCTCCTGCACCTAGTCCCCATGGGAAATCATTTGCAGCTCCAATGTTGTACCAGCCGCATAGATCATCAATAGGGAAGACGGAAGCAGCCGGGCTTTTGTCGCGTTCCGATAAACTGTCGGTGGCTAGGTTTGGATCCACCCCGTGCGCACCAAAAGACAACGGGTCACTGGGTCCAGCAATAGCCTGATCATTGGGACCTTGTCCCAGTCCTAGGACACACCGAGCAATTGTCTGGATCTCGCCCACATTTCTCACTGTCCTCGGCCAGACTTCCCCAAGCACCTTGAGAGAGCCGAGCGCCATCCGGATCTGATCTCTTGCAATGGCGAGGTCTTTCCCCTTGAGGAAAATACGGCAAGCGGAGAGCAAGGCCAGTATCCCCTCGCTGACCATACACGTGGTAAAAGGGGTGTGGTGGAATCTTGGGGCGGGTAAAGCCAGAAGACGGACCTGTGCCTCGACCGCCCGCAAGACCCGGAGGGTATGGACGTTTACTAAATCCGGCGTGGGGGTGTCACGGGGAGGCTTGCGGGCACAGCTCGATACATTCTCGATGGCATTGAAATCGAGGGCCGACAATGGACGATGGAGGCCAACGGTGGATCTAGCTGGTGAGTGGCAGTATATGCGAGGAAGAAACGTGAAGCTTACACATGGATAAGCAGATGTGCTTGGAACAAGAGCTCATCAATGTCTCCATTCGCCTTGATGACATTTTTCTGCTCGGGCGGTAATAGTAGTCGCCATCCATCCAAGCCGCAATCGACCGCTTGGATCAGATGCATGGAGTCTTCCACGGTTGCCACTTTGGGGGTTATCGATATGGCGGACGCGGCGCACTGCACGGCACCAATGAGGTGTGCGAAAGAGGAGAAGTGGACATTATCGGAAATAAACTCGCGCTGATTGAATTCTTCAAGGGTTCTAGGTTGGGGAATGATCTTCAACCTGAAGCATAAGCCAACCCTGGTACTGGTGATTAGGGTAGAGAGTGTGTGCACTTACCCCCAACTCATAATCGGACTCGTCGCAGGGCAATTCAACGGTCGCATCAAGGTCCATGACCCTGAAATTCATCGTTCCCAAGGTGCCCGCGTAGTAGGCGTCTACAATGTACAGGGTCCACCAGGTCCGTCTCCAAGATTCCCTCAAGACCAGATCGACCGGTTCCTGGGACGCTGCGAATTCTCCCTTGAACATCTGCAAAGCAATGGCGATCCGAGCCGCCTGGTCCAATTGCGACAGCGCATCCACTTTGTAGTCATACCAGAACAAGGCTACGGAGTACAAGATTCGACACTGAACTTGAATCGGATCAGACGGCGACAAGTGGGAAAGCGCGGTTTCGACCGTGTCTTTGAGCGGGACCGACCATTCTCGCGCACTGTAGATATTTCCCATGAAACGCATAGCGGCAATCAACGGTGCAAGAGCATGCGCTTTGCGAGGATCTTGACATAGTTCCACAAGATGATATCGTGGTGGGACAAATGGATGGCATACGTGGAAGTTCTTGTAGTAGGAGTGGATCAATGGGTCATTTGCAATGTCCTCCGACCGGGAAAGGTGCTCTTCGGTGCTGCAGCCATCCAGATCGGCATTGGGCACGACGGACATGGGTGGAAGATCTACCGAGACAGATGAGCTCGTACCCTGCTCAAATGTAGATGTGCTGGCACCTTTTTGATGGCTGGAATGGCTCATGGGATAATCTGTCCTTTGTGGGTGTCGAGAGACGAGACCGCGCCGCGAAGGGGCATAGCTGCACGGCTGGCCAACCTCACCACAGCGGGTGCAGCTCGGTCGCTTCCCATCACATTTGGCGTGCCGAGCGCGACAGGGCAAGCAAGCCAGCGACGAGCGTTTAGCCCGACGATTGTGCATGAATATAGTCGCCCCTTGAGAGACGCTCGCAGTATTGTCAAACGAGTTGATCGGTTATTTAGCCATTCGATGTTTCCTGTCAGCGGAAGAGCAGGGAAACACGCTAAGCTGTTTGTGGCAGTTGTATCGGAACATTACTATTCCGTGTCATTGGGGGAAATTGACGCATTTATGCAATGTGCATGGGATCAACTTTTCTTGGGCTGGAGGAAGATGATACCCATGAAACAAAGGAGTCTTGTTTCAACATTTACAATCATCTCTCCAAATGGCAACCGTTGATCATCTTGACGATGACTATACTAGTAAATCCGCGATATTGCCATCTCTAGCCTCGAAAGATATATATATATAGTAAGTATATACATCTGTATACATAAAGTACTTTGTATTAGCTGTTGAGTTCAGATATCATTCCACTGAGGCTACTTAAACGACGAGTCTTGCTTCGACACTACATCACCCCCCTGAATACCTATGCCTTTGAAATTCTAACCCCTTGCTTTACATACCATTCCTGCACCACCTCGCCCAATTCTTTTCGCAGCACCTCTCTCTTTTCCGGGGGTGCAAATGACTCCACCAGCATTTCCACAACACTGTCACCGTCCACCAGATCAATTCCCCGGTCATGACAATATTGCAACAACTCTTCCGCAGTGAGGTAGCTGTGGCGGGAAGTATGGCTAGTTCGATCCCACGAAACATCGCGCAATGGCTTTCCTCGACTCACCAACTGAATCGCATCAAGGACTATCTGCACTCCAAGCGCATACTCCTTGTCCACACCTGTCAGTATTGCAGCGGAGTGCCCGAGTGGAGAGGTGCGTCTATCAATTACATCCCCCAGTTCACTGTCCTCACGGAGGCATCGGAGGGTATACTCGAATTGGGCTCCAACTTTCTTGTTGCCCCAGGGTGCCGAAAGCACGCCGCCACCCAAAGATAGAAGATGATGCGACGACGAGGAAAAGTAATCAATGACACCGATGTTGAGCACATCGCCGCATGGCAGCGATATGCCCACGTCGATGAAGTGCTTTTGCAACATCTTGGCAACGGAGCTACCCTTCGAGTCTGGGATTTCTTGCACAAAAACCCCATATGTCGACTGCATCTGCCCAACAGTCATGTGCCGTGTGCCCTTTAAACCGTTTTTCTCGAGCGTGGGACTGAGGTGTTTGCGGAAAAGCTCGCGTTCGAAGAATGCTAGCTTGCGCAAATCCAAAGGCCCACTATCAGGCGCCGCTGTGGGAGGTGTCTCCGTGCTGGACGTCAGGAAGAGGAAAGGCATATGGCCCTCGGCCAGAAGCCGGGGAACCAGGTCACTGGCCATCAGGTGGGAGGCCACGTCCGAGCCGAGAAAGATAGCAACGTGTAAAGGTCTGGCAGGGGGCTCCCCAACCAGTGCGTCGGCAATGCGAGCCGCGTGGGCTGCCGTTCGATCGATGGCGCTGACGTAGAAATGCGTGCCGCGTGTCAGCGAGCCCATCGTGTATAGGCCGGGGGTTGATGCACAGAGGGTGTCGAAGTCGACGTCAACCCCACCCATCGGGTGCGGCGTGAATAAACCCTTTCGGACAGCGGACTGGACAAGCGGCGATGGAATCCGATCAAGATTGCACTCTTGCCCAGTCGCTTCGATCACGTATGCTGCTTCTATGGGTCCAGCAGTTGTCTGAGCAATGAAGATGCCTTCATCGTCATCCCAGTGGACGGCCTCTCCTGCAACCACACTTAGTTGGGAGCTTTCCATCAGCCTGAGGATTTTCTGGGCGTTCTGCACGGGCATCCCGTGGCGGTATCGCATCCAGGGAGTGAAAAATTTGGCCATGAAGAGTTGTTGGCTCTCCAGAGGTAAACAGTGCCAGTAACGCTCGATGACTGGGGCAGTGTGGCGAAGGACGGTTTGCCAATGGACATTCCCCTCTTGTGCCGCGCACAGGTCTGCCCGTAGTTCAGCCTTTGGTGAGGCATACTTCTGTATCCAGGTCCAATCACCGTTGTTCACACCGTCAATCTCATCCATAAGGGTGGTTGTGAGTTTGACAAGACCTTCCGCTGGGTTCGATTCTAGCTCTCGGGCCAAGGTATGAAGGGTGTAACGGCGCGGGAAAGGTTCAGGCTCGCCTTGGACTTTGGCAAGGCGGCCACTGCGCGACATGAAGGTCATCGGGCCCGTATGGCCGTTCTTAGAGAGATACAGCGCAGCGTCAACAGCGGAGAGCCTTGATCCGATGATGAGGACAGGGGCATCGGAAGGAATGGACTGTAGTTGAGAAGTCGGCCACGGGCTGGGAAAGAAGCCCGGTTGATCAAGTAGGTGCGTGTTGAGGGTAGAGGTGAAATTTCCCAGCGCCAATACAACAGATTGGGCAGAAAGATGGCTCCCACCTGCCAGTGTCAAAGCAAAGGTCCCATCATCATGACGGTCAATGTCCGATACATCGTCTTGGATGAGTGAGATCTCCAAGCCCATCTGTTGGGCTTGCGAGAGTATCTCAGACCACATCGCCTCCAGGTACTCCCCATATTGACTTCGGGAGGGAAAGGGACCACTGGATAGCTCGCTTCTCCATCTGGTAAAATGCTTGGGGTCGTTATAATATAGACCCATTGTGTCCGTGTGCATATTCAAGATGGTGCCGGTACAAGCGGCAGAGTATGCCAGTCCTGGGCCAGGAGGCGAGGCTTTCTCGACAACGATGAGGGGAGGAATTTTCTTGCCATTCTTAGCATGTTCAATCAAGCGAAGAAGGACTGCTATGCCACTGGCGCCGGCGCCTACTATGACAATGTCCTCGGTAGAGGAAGTGGCAACCGAGGATAACGATGAGCCCATTGTGAAATGTCAAGCACGAGTGATTCTTCGATTACTGAAAAAGATGACTATACAAATCCCCTCGTGAAGAAAGTATTTATCCTTCCCAGGTCTGAGTACAGGATGGTGGATAGCCAATCAATCTACTAGAACGGGTTGTTCCCGAACAGGACAGACGATGAGGGCTATTCTTAGCTTA